ATTCCTCAACCCCATAAAACTTTTTGTCACGCTATACCAGAGTAGCTGTAGGAAAGAAGTGAGCATTATTGTTTCAGACAATTTTTTTTTCACCGTGGCACATACTGGCAGATTTTATTTGAGATGACCCTCCCTTTAGTCTAGAGAATAAGTCAAGAGGAAACTATACCGTTGGCTAGAGTAATGAATGCCCTTGGAAATGATATAGAAAGAAAAAATTGCTGGAATTTTGAAGGAACACAGAAAATTGATGAGCATTATAAGAGAAAGAGAGAAACAAGAAAGACTTCAAACTCTACAAAAAGAACTATTCATTGTCTTTTTTTCTTTGCTTTTCATGCTTGCAGAATTTTGTTTTCTTTACACTTATGAACTCGTACATGGAAATCTCCTTAGAATTTTGAAAGCTTAACATTTCAGATATTAGAAATAATTATTGACACAACAAAATTCGTACAAAGTCATTTTCTTAAAGAATAAGTTACGAAAAGTACTTCCTTGTGTATGAGAGACAAAGATCTCTTCGATAATGATGATTCATTTTCTTTGTTCATTGTAGTTATTCCCAATATTCCAATTGATGCTCGATGGTCACAGAATGGAAAGACCGTTACTGGAGATAATGGAGAAGGCAATGCCACAAATCAACTCGACGGGCCTCACGGTCTCTTCGTTGATGATGATCAAACGATGATCATTGCTGACTGCCGGAATCATCGTATCGTTCAATGGAAGATGGGTGATACGAATGGACAAGTTGTAGTTGGTGAAAAGGGCCAAGGAAATCGCTTAGATCAATTGAATTATCCAACCGATGTGCTAATCGACAAAGAGACTGATAGTCTCATTATTTGCGATTCCGGAAATACTCGAGTCGTACGATGGTCTCGTCGTAGTGGCACAACTCAAGGAGAAATCCTCATTGACAACATCAATTGTTGGGGATTGTTTATGGATGATCAGAGATATCTCTACGTCTCTGACTACAAAAAACATGAAGTAAGACGATATCAAATAGGAGACAAGAATGGAATTATTGTGGCTGGTGGAAATGGCAAAGGTGCTGGTCTCAATCAACTCAACTGGCCCACCTACATCTATGTCGATCAACAACAGGCTGTCTACGTGTCAGACAACTGGAATCATAGTGTAACGAAATGGGATAAAGGTGCAAAAGAAGGCATTGTCGTCGCTGGAGGTCACGGTCAAAGGGAGGCTCTGACACAATTGTGTCGTCCCCAAGGAATCTTCATCGATACGTTGGGTACCATCTATGTGGCAGATTCGGAGAATCATCGAGTAATGCGTTGGTCTAAAGGAGCAAAACAGGGTACTGTTATTGTGGGTGGAAATGGTGAAGGAGCAGGAGCAAATCAGTTCCATTATCTCCGT